TTGAATTTTTTTTTTTTGCAAAATATGAATAATATGTTATAGTATCACATGCATCATTCTCCATGTATTCCCTTTCAGCTCCGCCATCCTCTACCTCACAACTATTGGCAACCACAAGCTTACCATGCTGTACACTCCCTCCAACAATTCAACTGGCTACTAGACAGCGGAGCTTCTCACCATGTCACTACGAACTTGAGCAACCTATCTTTTCATGCACCTTATACTGGCTTCGATGACGTTAATGATTGTTGATGACACAAATCTCTCCATCTCTCATATCTTCCCAACAACCTACTAAAACACAAAACTAAATCCGCACCAACACCACATGACTACCCGAGCAAAAAATAACATCACCAACCACTAAAAAAACTCAACCTGCACACCACAAAAATCTCTACACAAAATTTCGACCCTACATCCATTCACAAGCTCCAAAGATCCTCATTGGGGTCAAGCTATGTCTAAGAGTAGATTTATTGTCTGTAATGGAACATGGGAGCTAGTTCCACAAATGGTATCACAATTTATGTTGTTGTAAATGGATTTATCGTATTGAAGACATTTTGACGATTCTGTTGATAGGTTTAAAGCTCACCTTGTGGCCAAAGGCTTTCATCAAAGGTCGGGTGTGGATTACCATGAAACTTTAGTCTTGTTATTAAGCCTACACAGTAAGACTTGTGCTTAGCTTGCAGTGAGTAATGGATGGTCACTTCACAATTGGATGTCAATAATGCGTTTCTTCATGGCAGCATTATGAAAATGTGTTTTATGGCTCAACCTCTTGCTTGTAGATTCTGATCATCCAACATACGTATGCAACTACACAAAGCTATCTATTGTCTCAAGCAAGTCCTTGGGCTTGGTATCATGAATTGCGCCAATTTCTTCTAGCCACCAGATTCAAGAATTCACACTCAGATACGTCTCTCTTATTCTCAACAATGGCATCATATTCTGCATCTCCTAATGTGTAGATGACATTACCTAACTAGGAACAATGATGCCCTTGTATCTCATTTGTTGATTGTCTTGCACAATACTTCTCTCTAAAGATCTTGGCTCTATTATCTTACTTTCTTGGCATTGAAGTTCTCTCACATTGTCATGGCATTTTGCTCTCACAACGGAGATATTCCAAGACTTGCTTAAATGGACAAATACGGAGGATGCCAACCTGTTCTTACTCCATTGCCAACTAGTTCATCAACATTCTCCTCTGCATCTGGCTCTTCTCTATCTGATCCTACTCAATTGTTGGTAGCCTACAATACCTTCTCTTACTCGTCTTGATATCCTTTGTGTAGTTAATAGAATGTCTCAATTACGCACAACCCAACCACAGAGCTTTGGGTGCTGTTAAGCACATTTTGCGGTATCTTTGTGCATTTTGGACAAGGATTTCTTCTCTACGTGCCTCTAATTTCATTTAAATTTGATGCATCAATGTGTAAATTTATGAGAGACACAAGAATGTGTGTACTTACAAGGGTGTTGAGAGCTCCAGCTTTGAAACGATAAGGAAAGGATGGTCTTCTTCTCACGTGAGACATAGACAAGGCCAGGCATCTTGGTTTGCTCATCTTTGTACTCTATATCCTTTCTATTGTCATGTATATTACCAAAAAAAAAAAAAAATCATCCCAGAATACCATCTCAACTATAGTGACTTTGTCCACAAGCATTGTATTTATTCTCATTAGACTATTATGATGTAATTTACTTTTTTTTTTTTTTTTTTTAATGAAATAGTTGATATCTTTATTTCAAATAATTTCTTCCTGCCCTATTCCTTTGGCTGTTCTTCCAGGAGTATCTGAAATTTGTTGCTATGGGAGCTAGTCAGCTACTACTTATTTCCTCTATGGTTTGTTGTTTCTTTTGTTCGGGTTTCCAACCAAATCAACTCAGCATAGAGATACAATAAAAATAAATTAACTTCGACTGGGTCAAGATATCATACTGACCTCTATGCTAGATGTCAACAAATTAAAGAAAATTAAGCTGATTAAGTCTCTAGTTATTACATTAAATCATATACAAATTTTATTATAATTAAGGTAATATGGATCAATTTATGAAATGAATCTTATAATTAAACTACTTTTTAATAGATTTGCATCTGGATCATTAATTAACGGTTTTAATCTGAAAGTATACAGTAAAAAATCCCCTTCAAATAGTAAACAAGAGTTCCCATATGATTAATTTAAGCATACCTCAACAAAAGGGGTCGGTCCATCGCCACGCAATTGTTTTCATCTTTTTCACCTATTTCTCCACATTGCTCTTGAAATTTTCATACTTTGACTGTACAGATATAGATTAGATAGATATTATAACATCACGAATTGAAGTGTGATCTGCAGAAGATTATAGTAGTAATTAACAACAATAATGAAACACACCAACCTTAATCTCCTCCTCCTGGACCTTGAATTCATCACTCCAAAAAAGCCTCTCATCATCAGTAACATCGAGAATAAGCCTCAGGACACCTAGTTTTGGCCATTGTTCTTGCAAAAGGGAGTCCAACTCTTAGCAAATTCAAATGCTCTTTTAAGCATAAAACTTATAAAGACCCTCCATCATCCGAAAGATACACAGACAATTTCTCCGGTGGATAATCAAGTCTAAGGCCGATATAACAGTGTTCATAACCTCCACAGTCGGCTCCTTTTGGGATCAGCCGTGCATACAAACACATCAATTCCCGTAAACTAACATCACTAGTAATGCTTTCAACTGAAACTGAACGGGTCACCGGGAGCCATCGAAAGGCTTGTGTGAGTGCCCAAATGAAGGCGAGAATGAACTCGGAGACAGTGATGAGAGCCCATGCAAAGGATAGTAGTGTATTGTTTTGGTGGAAAAGATTTGTGAGGCGATAATAAAGCAAGAACGATACGGCTGTCAAGTGGAAGAAACCATGAACCCTGCTAGTTATGGCTCGAGATTGGTGAACTTTACAGGAGTGAAGAGCTGATTCGACCTCCATAGTTTTTTTATTTCCTGACTTGGCTGGGAATGATTTATGAGCTCACAAACTTGTTAATTCTCCTTTTATAGAGTTCCTTAATATGTTCTGTGAACTTGCATGCCATTAAAATGGCATATAAGAATGTAAAGATGCTTAGTTTTGTTCAGTAATTAATCTTGAAAATTATCTTTAAATTAACAATTGTTGTTTATTCATTTACGTACAAAACTACCAATAACATTGAGTGAAGGTTTATCTGTTGCACCAATTGAACATAAGACATTTCCTGGTATTTTTATTAATGGTGGCGTATGATTGAAGAAGTTCAAATTTGCCTTATATGTGTATGGCCAAATCAATGTGCATAGCTGGACGAGGATTGTCCTTTGTAGCTTGGAATTTGCGGCCTCCGTCTATTTTATTAGTTCAATAGTGTTAAAGAGACAAAATAGTAAAATATTTGCCATTATCAACGAATATGATCCTCACATTTATCCATTAAACATTAGCATCATTATCAACTTATCATAGGAAACTCCATGAACATCTATCCTGTAAAATAAGAGCAAGAACACAAGAAAAAAAAAAAAAAAAAACAGGGGATTTTAGACTTCCCGAAAAGTCTTAATGGCATTCGCTTTTGACATATAAGGAAACAACAATCTCAAATTTCATCAAATACTTAAACCATCAATGAGTTTACATGTAATTGTAAATTACAATATAATTGAAACGCATTAATTTTATAAATGACACTCAATACATTAAAACAATAGATCCCAAAGACAAGAAAATGACTGATAATATAGCAGACAACATTGTCATATATGGTGGAATGCGGCCTGTGTCCTTCCTCACAAACATCCCTTCAATGATTGCGTAACCCATAATCAATATATAAAATGACAGTAAAACTTGTGCAAACATCTTCTCCCAATCTCCAGTGATAATTATTCTAAGAACTCCCCAAAAGAAAGCTACAATGTTCAAAATAGTCAAGGTAACCAATGGAGCAAGGAACATGGTTGAAGTCTGGAAATCAAATATGCNAAGAATTTGATCATAAATGGTGCTACGTCACATTCCGTGCCATAATATATGATTCATCTAGTTCATTGCTATGACGTGCCCGTAGGAATTAATTTGTAAATTAGAAATGTCCTCTAAATGACTAAATTCATGACTAAATATCTAGAGAATGTCAATAGGTGACAAGAGCAAGAAAAAAGAAAATACTTAAATTAATTTAAAGATTAATTAGGGATTTTGTATTTATATTACATGAACAATGACATTAACTGGTATATTTCATTCAGAAAACGTAATTATATATGTCTGCACTAAAATGACATCCTCTTATTATAAAAAAAATGTGTTATACTTATAGGTGAAACTGGCTTGTCCTAATTCGTTTAATATTTTATTTTTATTCTCCCATGTTATAGACTGTTATTACTATGATTTGTTTCATTAATTATTAATTGTTACGCATGTTAACCCCCTAAATTAACACGTAATTAACCATAGAATATATACTCTCTTTTAACACTCTAAATTGTGTTTATTGTTTATTGTTAATCTTGAGATAGAAGATCTTTGTTTTGTTAAATTAGATTCCTGTTTTAGACTTTTACGAAAGAAAGAGACATAAAATTTCCTCTTGTCTCTTCAAATTAATCAATCAACTTCATGATTCTCCTAAATTGTTCCACGACGGATCTACCCATATAATCTTTATATTTGTTTGGAGTATACTCTTCTCAAGAAAGTAGAGAGAATTAAAGGGAGAATTTGTTTTCACTAGCGACTGAAGCCTGAATATCAGTTTGATAAAATAATTGCCAATAGCTTTGTTATCAACGAATATGATGCTCATATTTATCCATTAAACATTAGCATCATTATCAACTTATCATAGGAAACTTCATGAACATCTACCCTGTAAAATAAGAGCAAGAACACAAAAAAAAAAAAGAAAAAAAAAAACAGGGGATTTTAGACTTCCCGAAAAGCCTCTAAATAAATCTGTGCTGAAATACATTCTTTAATTTGACGGCATTCGCTTTTGACATATAAGGAAACAATAGTCTCAAATTTCATCAAATACTTAAACAATCAATGGGTTTACATATAATTGTAAATGACAATATAATTGAAATGCATTTTTTTTATAAATGACACTCAATACATTAAAACAATAGATCCCAAAGACAAGAAAATTACTGATAATATAGTAGACAATATTGTCATAGATGGTGGAATGCGGCCTGTGTCCTTCCTCACAAACATCCCTTCAATGATTGCGTAACCCATAATCAATAAATAAAACGAGAGTAAAACTTGTGCAAACATCTTCTCCCAATCTCCAGTAATAATCATTCTAAGAACTCCCCAAAAGAAAGCTACAATGTTCAAAATAGTCAAGGTAACCAATGGAGCAAGGAACATGGTTGAAGTCTGGAAATCAAATCTGCCCATGAGGTATCGCTTAGCTTGTTCATCATCATCAGCTTTGTTGGTGGGCACAAAACTAGCTTCTGACAATCCAAGCTTCGACATTATGGCATTTAAAGTTCCATAGAAATAACATGTAACCCCTTTTATCATCCATATCCTTTGTTCATTTCTCCATATCCTGATTGATCCTCCCGTTTTAAGAACCTCGTATAAATGTTTAGATAATGATGATAGAAAGATGAATAAGAATATGTAAAATTTTGAGTCCGAAACCTGTGAGTCAAAAACAAATGAAGTATCAGGGGAATATCCACTAGAAAAAAATATAGGGAAGAAGAAGAAATGATAGAATGAGAAAGGAAGGGTGTTACCTCAGGGAACAAAGAGATGCCATTGAGGAGGCAAAGTTGAGGAATAGTGGCAAAACACCAGAGAGGGAAGAAGTAAATGGAGAAAGATGCAAGTTCTGCATAGCCCATGCTCGCCAGTAAGGACATCCTGGGCGGCCCATATATCAGTGGACTAAACTTTGAAATAAGAACTTGAGCCAATCCTGCGCCCCATCTCGTGCCTTGAGTCAGCAAGTCGTTTAAATTGGTGGTAGAAGTACCCAAAAATTGTGGCCTTGATGGGTTAAGATACACTGATTTCCATCCCTTGCAGTGCAAACTTTTGAATCCAGTGAAGTAATCTTCAACAAGAGAATGATACATAAAACCTACCTGTAACCACAGCCAGGTGATTAAACAAACAAACATAATGTATCATTTCAAGTTTTCAAAATGTGTTAATTAATACTTGCCTCTTCACCCCATTTTGAGTTTTCTTCATAAGCACAGGAGGCTAAAACTTTGGTCTCTGGCAGCAATTTACTTGAAGAATCACTACCATCATCAATGCTAGACTTGTGGTCTGCACGAAGAGATTTGAGGAACTCGTTGGATTGACCGAAAGAATTCTTCAGCTCTATGAGATCCAAACCTGTTATCAATAATAAACAAAGGTGCTATTTAAGAGAGAACTTAATTATAAATCCTACATGCAAAATAGTTAATTACAAACAAAGTTACCTTTCTGTAAAGAAATGCCATAGAGTGCTTCCCTCTTAATATAAAAATTTGTACCAGACAAGACTGGTCCCTTTAGTCCATCCAAACCATACCATGATATCTGAAATGGTGCAAATATGTTCAAATCAACAACATAGGCAAATATAAGTGAACCAAAATTAGTGTTGAATTGGCATACCCGAAATATTGATCGAATCTCACTGTCATAGATATCGTTTTTACTGAGATTATGAAATGTCTGAGGAAATTGAACGAATGCTAGCGAGGGAGAGATCTTGGGATCAAAATGAAAACACATAGCTTGCCTAGCCGAAGTTGGGTCATTGCAGTACATGTCACAGTCCAGCACTAGCATATAAGGAGAGTTGCTTATCACACCAGAAACTCGAAGCTGTAATATTCAAAATATTTTAACCATAATATTTCATGCAATATCGTTCAATGACTTTATTTATACATGTTAACTAGAGGAGTAGCTCTTACAAGGACGTTCAGAGCTCCGGCCTTGAAATGGTGAGGATGAGAAGGCCTTTTTTCACGGGAAACATAAACCAGAAGAGGCATCTTAACCTGTTCTGTTGCTTCATTACCCTTTTCATTTATTACCTGCAAATTTGCATATTTCAAAAAAAATTACTACTTACATTGATATGTTAATAACAGCTTTGGGTACTCTTTTTATCAAGTTCAATCCAGATTGTGATATGCCGTAGGCTGTAGCTAGTTGGGGAACATGTGGATTAATTGCTGGACCAGACTGATGAAAGGTAGCCATTGATTTAAAGTAATGAAATAATACCTCGATCAGAGAAGGATGGGCTCCAGTACTGATCTGACCGTTTTTGTCCTCAGCCTGCCCCTTCTCTGCAGCTCTTAATACCCGTTCCTTGAACGCTTCATACTTTTCCTGCATTCAAACACATTTTAATTATTATGAGCTTCTGATGTACTTTAAGCCTTTGGCTACATCAAAATAGTTCTTGAATTATTAAAGGTATTATTTCTTATCGCATAATGTTTGAATTAGAAGAATAATATAATAATTAGAGTAATTAATCAGTCAAAATGTTTTACATACTATATAACACGTTAATATAGTCAAAGAAAATAAACTATCACATGAAAAAGATTAACAAACAAAACCAAAAGAATAATATTAAATATATAAATAAATCTTATTAAGGTTTATGTATAAATTAATATGACAAAAAATAAATAATAAATAAAAGAGTGAGTATGGTGAGTTTAACTTTTTGTATCCACTTTTCTATTTAATCATTATCCTATCAATTTATATAAAAAACTTTATAAGATTGGTTTCTCTGTGGAAACCCTTTATATCTACAAATAAAACAAAAGTAAATTATTACAAGTAAAACCACACCCGCTGTAATTGTTTAGACAATTATTAATCAACGAAGAAAAATAGGTGCGGTAACAGCCTGACTGGTGATTTAAAAAAGCTAGTACAATAGTTTAATTAAACAACTGTTCATGAATATTATAATCCAACAAACCTTAATTTTTTGCATTTCTTCCATGAACTCAGCCCTTCCAGAATCAGCATACTGATATTCACTGCTAGAAAAATAAGCTTTTGGGCAAATAGTTTTGATTCCATACTTCTTACAAAATGGAAGCCAAGACCTTGCAAACTTAAAAGCTTCCTTCATGCCAGTCAAAGTTATTGAAGCACCTCCATCGTCTGAAAGATAAACATGCAGTTTCTCGGGTGGATAATCAAGCGCCATAGCTGATAAAACGGTATTCATTACCTCCACGGTGGGCTCCTTCTTTGGATCCGCAGTACAAATAAACACATCAATGGCCGGAAACTTGTTATCATCTTCTGGTAATCTCTCAGGAAAAACAGTTCGATAGACGGGACGCCAACGGTAAGCTTGTCCTACGAGCCACATAAAGGAGAGAACCAGCTCTCCGGCAAAGACTAGAAGCCACGGTAACAAGGGTGTGGTTCTAATTTTGGCTTCCTGGCAGAGAAAAGAAGCTCTGTAGTAAATCAAGAAAGCTATAGCTATGCAATGGAGGAATGTATATGTCCTGTTTATGATGATAGAGAACTTGTGGACGTGACAGAGATGGAGAGGGAGAGAGTTTTCCATTTCCACAGCTTCTTGTTTTGCTCTCTTCAGGTTATCTCCGTTTGATAAGTTTTTAATTGGTTATAAACCTTTGGCAATAACCAATACTAAAACTATGCCACTGTCACTGTGGACTCATGTGAAACCAAAGTATAAATTTATATAGGCCCAACGATTTGTGCATACCCAAGATTTACTTTAATGATAAGTTGGTACTCAAAAGGTTTTGAAACGATAAATAGGTACCTTCCGTCATATTCTGTTACTGATTTCTGTTTATTAATAGTGAAAAGACTAAAATGCCCTTCAAAGTTTTAATTTTAGTTTTTTATAAATTTAAAAATTTCTAATTTCTAAAAAACCTCCTAAGTTTTCTAATTTAATTAAACACCCCCATATATAAAAAGTTTGTTAAATAACAAAAACACCCCCAGTGCCAGATTCCGGCCACCATCGCCGGAATCTGGCCGAAAAACTACATTACGACACAGACCCGTCGGGTCTGTGTCGTAACGTGCCGATCTGGCCTTTTCCGGTCAGATCCGCCACGGATCTGGCCGGAAAAGGCAAGATCTGGCCGTCGAAGCAACAGCCAGATCTGGCCTTTGCTGGCCAGATCCGTGGCTGATCTGGCCGGAAAGGGCCAGATCTACTGCCAGATCTGGCCGTCGACGCGCAGATGGAGTTTTGCGGCGTCGACGGCCAGATCTAGCCGTAGATTGGCCTTTTCCGGCCCAGATCAGCCACGGATATGGCCGGAAAAGGCCAGATCGACGCGTCACGACACAGATCCGACGGGTCTGTGTGCGTAACGCAACTTTCCGGCCAGATTCCGGCGGTGGTGGCCGGAATCTGGCACTGCAGGTGGCGGGGGTTTTGGTTATTTTACAAAATTTTTATACATTGGGGTATTTAGTTAAATTTGTAAACTTAGGGGGTTTTTTAGAAATTTATAAAAAACTAAAATTCAAACCTTTAAGGGCATTTTAGTTTTACTATTAATAAACAGTAATAAACAGAAACCACTAACAGAACATGACGGAAGGTACCTATTTGTCGTTTTAAAACTTTTGGGTACCAACAATTGTTGTTACGACAAACCTTGGGTACGTGTAAGTCGTTCTCCATGTATATATGAACCACAAATCCAGAATACCGGGAGGTAATATATAAATTTTAAACAATCACAGAACAGTGACTTTAGTAATTTACCTGTAAATAAATAATGTATATATTTCATTATTAGTTATAATATTCTTCTCTTTTATCTTTTTTTATTTTTATTATTCTAACTATTTTTGTGTGGTTAAGTGGTTCAAAAGAAAATCTTTAATGTATTATTTAAAGGCTAGTTCAATTTATCATTGATTGTTAATAAGGATAACCATAAAAACTTTTATCCAATCGAAAAATTATTATGGTGCACATAAATCTTTGGGCTGCTAATTAAAAAAAAAAAAAAAAAGTGATTAACCGATGTATTTATCTTTATATATAACTTAATATTTAATGTGATTTTCAGTCAAAGCAATAATTTACCGACTGGTTTGCGTGCCGTCGCCGTTTATTGTTTTACCTTGGGTATCACTTAATGGACTGAGAGTATGTTGACAAATATGAATCTGGCATTTTCTTGACGACGCTACAGCTACATACACAATTGTTTTTAATGATAAAACCAAACTTTTCATTAAAAACTGATAAACAAGTCAAAAAGAAAAGTTTGACTTGGCTTTGATTTAAGCAGCCGGAATGGATGACAGTGAGGAGAAAGAGAATGCAACATCTTTGCAAGATTAAGCATGTTCTGTGGACGAATGAGACGGATATAGGTTGGATATTTAGTGTTTGGCTGCTAGCATGTGGCATGTCCCAACAAAAGGAAGTAATAATTGAGGAAGAGTTAAATATTGTGTGAAGTACAATCGGCCTAATCTGATAAGAGGAAGTTACCAAAACGAAATGAAAACATCTTGTGTTCAATGTTCAATCTGCTGGCTGCACGTTGCTCCTCCTCACGTAAGCTATCAGATTGGTGACTTACATTTTTCCTTTTCTATTTCTTTCTCTATATTTAATGATTAGAAAATTAAGCTAAAAGCCAGGGGCCCAATAGCATTAGAACCGCTAATCCTATTAATAAAACAGATTATCATGAAAGTTTTGGTTTATTATTCTAATAATTTTTATAAAGATCTAGCCAAATCTATTATGGATCAGGCTGAAAAAACTTAGATCAATATCTTATCAATCAGATTTAATTGATTGTGTGCTATTATATCAGATTCTAACAATAGTGATCAGAATCTGATAAATATTTATTGTTAGAGTGTTTTTATAATTTTTAAAAAAAATTAGAGATGTTTAGTTAAATTAATAAATTTAGTAAGATTTAAAGAAAATGAATAATATAAAATAATAATATGAGAATAAGTCAATTTTACTATTTAATTTTATTGAGAAAAACTAAAATAATATTCATAAGAGTGAATCAAACGGAACTGAATCTTCTCATTCCCTTTCCGCGGAATCCCACTTTGGGAATACACAATATTTGGTTACATTTATAAATTAAAAGAGGCTGCCGCCGTGGTGTATCTGGGGTGGAGGGCAGGAAAAGCACGCGCCTCTTCAAACACTAAACCTTTCCCACAAGGGACATTGCCACCAACCACGGTTGTGACTTTTTTGCAAAATAGAAGGTAGGCCTCAATGGGTGAGTGGAGAAGGCCCCTTTTTTCAATAATCTAGTCTCCCAAAATTCAACAAAAACTCCTACAAAATCACTCCCAAACAACTCCAAAAATCAAATCAAATCTAAGCAACCAAAAGTGGGGATCTCTTTTCTCTCTCTCTTTTCGCACGCCCCCACCTTTGTCCCTAGTCAGCATCGGATTTGTACTCTCCTGCCTCGTCACACTTCTTTCGTCACTTCCGTAGCCGCTGATGACTTTTGAAGTTCCCCAGCAACAACCCCACCCAAAACCACCCGTACTCCCCTCTTTGCGTAGTGGTGCATCGCATGAACTGCTAATTTCGATGACAATCTGAAACTCTCGGCCCTTAACTCACCACCTTTCCTTTGCTGCCGCAAACACCATCCCCCAACTGCCACAAAACCCATCATGAATGACAATTCGTACGATGCCTATGTGCACGGAGAAGGTCATTGTGCCTCCACTCCGCGCACCTCCCACTCCCATCCTCCTGTACCCCTAGTCAACATCATCGCCCGCCACCGTTGAGCACATCTTGTGTGTCTTCGCACGATAGGGTTTGTTTTTCCAGTTGAGATTTGATTGGAGAAGTTGATTGAATGCAATTTGTTGGGATTTTGAAGTGTATTTGTGTTGTGGAGAAGTTGATTGAATGCAGAGAGGAAGGGTTGGGTTGTGAGAAAAATTTTAGATTTAGAGGGTTATTTTAAAATTTTACTAACTTTGGGGAGTGAGAGAGATTAGGGTATACTATTTTGCATAAAGACCTTAATACCTTTCAACTATTATATTAAACAGAGTTAGGCACGGCCTAGTCCCAATTGGGCCCGGGACTAGGCCTTGAAGGACTGGTCCCAAAATGGGATCGATCCTTCAAGGACCATTTCTCATGGGCTGGGGATCAGTCCTAGGCTCATGAGAAATATCAAGGCGTAAACTGGTCCCTAGGACCAGTCCTAAGCCTATAGGATTGGTCCTAGGACTAGTCCTATGGGCTTGAAAAATTACCAATACCCCCCTAATTTTTTATATACTTGGGCTAAATTGAAAATTATGTAAAATGTCTATGTAATTTTTAGTAGACCTGGCAAAACGGGTGGGTGGGCCGGGTAAAACGGGTACGGGTCTTATACGGGTGGATATATACGGGTCTAATATTTTGGACCCGTGCCCTACCCTATACGGGTACGGGTGGACCCTTTTTTCTCTCTCCAGCTTTCGGTTTTGACAGTTTCACCCCTAACAGTTTTCAATTATGACAATTACACCCCCAAAATTCCTGCAGTTTTAATTTTTTACATTTACACCCCCTAAATCAACTACTCTAAATTCAATTCAATTAAGAATATAAACAAATATGAACCAAAATAAACAAATAACACATAAACAAACAATAACATATAATACAAAACTACAAATACCAACCAAAACAAACAAATACAAAATCACTAATACACAATTACACATAAACAAACCAAATAAGTCAATAAACTATAAATACCAATTAAAATAAACAAATACATAATCCATATTCAACAAAAAAATTCTTAAGACAGCAAATGTTCATTCCACAGTGGGCGTGATAGGTCTCTTGATTCCACGGTCTCGAGATCAGTCAATGGCACATCAAGATCATCCAGAATCACTTTCACCTCATTATCTACAAAACAATGATCAACTACAAATATTAATAAATGTAAATAATAAAATATACAAAAATGTAACATGGTACAAACATCAATCCATATAGCCAAGTTCGGTGCATATCAAAGATTCTGCATTTTTTGGTCGAGAAGGAGCTCGATATTTGTTGGCACTTTACTACCAATACTAAAGCGGACTTGAGGCACAGGATGTTATTGGTATGCCATGATATCACGAGCCATATGGTAAGTACCGGATAACGATCACGATTATTCTTCCAATGATCGAGGATATCCAAATTCTGATATTTGACGCGATCAAACCTCACTCTTCCAAATAAAGATCTAACTCGAATTTTAGTGGAAATGAAAACACTCCCTAGCTGTCAAAATCCTACATCATTTAAACAGTTAAGTGTCCAAAGTTAAAATTAAACAATAAACAATACTTTATTTATCATAAGAATATAAAAACTAAAAGTATAGTGAATTACAAGAGAATGATCTACACGCCTACTAGAAGTAGAACTACTCGCAGGAGAACAACTGAAGGTGAGGCAGGAACTTCTTTACAACATTTAGCCTCGTAAGCTTTAAAAAGCTTTTGCAAGTTATTCTTAACAGTCTCCAACTTCAGTACGGCATTATTTGAATCATAAACTTTGTTTGAAAATACTCCACAAACTGAAACTTGAGACATGGGTCAAGAATAGTGCAATCGTCAACACAAAACTATAAGAATC